TAGCAGGTTCTCCTCGGGACCAGTGCTGGTCCCTAATAACAAGGTTTGAAAGAATTACAAAGGTTTGTACTTATGGGGCTGCGAACCGCGAGGAACCGCGAACCGAAGCGCGAGCGAACCGAACCGCATGAACCGCTCAACCGGTTCCAACCGGTTTACGCGAACCTAACCGAACCGAATGGAACCGCGAGAACCCTGTAAAGCCACGGAGGCTAACCCTAATGGCCCTAAGCCTCACAGCCCAACATTCTTTCATGTGGTTGGGTCCAGTTCCAGGCTTTGCAACCGCTTAAAAATCTCCAGGTCCCCACGGGGAGCGCTCTGGCTCCTGAGGACAGTGACACAGAAGGTTCGCAGGCGAGATGCTGAGCAGAAGAGGAGTTAAAATGGGGGCTGGGGGCAAGTGTGAGAAAAAACATCGACAGCGCTAAAACCAGCAAGGCTCATAGCAGTTTAGCAAGACCAGTTGTAACAGCCATGAATAATGCTGATTGCCAGAATCCTCGGACTCTTTAGGCTGCCCCCCGTATACTGACAGTGATGCCAGAACTTATCTGACCAAACGTTACACAGCCTGCCACACCCTAATCCCTAAACTCCCTAAACTCTGAGCAGCCCCAGGGAAAGCTAGACCCGAAAGTCACAAACCTGCCTATTGCCGGAAACGCTGAAGCTGTGTATACCATACTGAGGGTAGGTCATTCCATGTCTTTCCTACAGCCGACATGCTGAGTCTCAGATGTCAAATCCGAAGACTTGAATCTTAACCATACGTCCCAAGCCATCAAGGGCCTTAAATGCGTCCCTGCCCATGCCGACCCCATCAGCGGGACAGCAGCGCTTTTGCGGAGCTCACTTGCGTGGCCGGTCGACCACCAGTAGCAAGGCCTAAAGGGGTTTTGGGGCTGAGGGTCTAGGGCCTGGGTTCACGGTTTAGGGTTTGCTGTGGAATAGCGTGCGGGCGATGGTATGTTCGTGACAAGAGTGTGTCAAGCGCATCGTACTATGGAGATGAACTGTCAAAGCCTGTCTACAGAAGGTTGTTAAAACCACACCACCTCCTTGTGGTTTCCAGACAAGAGGCCAGGCTGGGCAGGGCAGGCACCCACGGAGGGTTGGGGTATCTAAGAAGTCATTCTGGAGGATTTCGAACTCATGTTGCGCATCTGTGTGTAAGAGTATGTATCAGTATGTATCAATATGAAAAAAATTAAGGCCCGAAGCCCTAAAACTGGCTGTAGACGAGTTTGGTTTTCGGTTGACGGCCCAGAGACAGAGACATAGACTTCGGATTTGGATGCGGTAAAAGCCAAAACAGATCTTGATTGCAAGTCTATCTACCTACGTGCCACCGGGCTCTTGCTATCTTTCTGTCGCTCTTTGTCTATATCTCTAAATCTCTGTCTCACTGTCTCCATCTCGGTATCTCGTCATCTATCCTTCGCTCCATCTGTCCCTCTCCTCTCATCTCCTCTCTGCTCTCTGCTCGCTCCTCGCTCCTCTCATCTCCTCTCTCCCTCCCTCCCCCTCCCTCCCTCCCTCCCTCCCTCCCTCAGTCAGTCAGTCAGTCAGTCAGTCAATCTGTCAATCAGTCGGTCAGTCAGCCAGTCAGTCAGTCAGTCAATCAGTCAAGCCAGTCTGTCTACCCATCTAAGATGTTTTGTCTGCCCAATCATTTAACTACCTGTGCAAGTGCACATGCATGTGTGTGTAGGTATGTATGCACGTATGTGTACGTAAGTACGTTAGCACGCAGGCATCTATGCATGTGTTGTATATGAACATGTACATATGCATACGTACGTGTATGCATGTAAGGTACGGATGCAGATATGTATACGCCTGTATGCATGCACGCATTCATGATCAGTCAGGCAGACGCTTTCTGTGGTATTATGCGATGAGTAGGCTACGCAACATGATGGTATGCATTCCTGTCGCGGTGTATGTGCAGACGGTTTTTCACAAAGCTATAATATGGCTCTGCCATATCATTGAGACATCTCGCTTGCATTGTGTGTCTATGCGCCGTCATGCGCCTGAGAGTTGCTGGCCAAACTACCCATGCTGAGCGTGCCTGAATGCAGGGTTGCAGCCAAGACTGTGAGCTTTTGGCCATCCAAACCGGCTCTTTTCGTGTAACCTGCTGGAGTGTGATGACGATGACGACGACGACGATGATGATGATGATGTTGCTGGCGATGATAATGATGAAGACGAATCATAGACGTAATAACAAGATAATGAACAAGTAGGTGATGATGCTGATGATGATGAAGGTGAAGATGAGGATGAAAATGAAGACGACGATGATGATGGGTATGACGATGATGACGGGCTCTGTGAGTCTCCCTGCAACCGTTTCTCCGGTTACTTAAGGCCTCACATGATTCAGACCTTGAGGTCAAAAGTTCAACACACCATGGCGTACTTCATACGCTTTCGCAAGTCTCAGCATGCACCAGAGATACACTCACGCTGACCACATGCCTTAACCCTAAATGCCATAGACTCCAAACCCTGCACCCGAACGTCCCCTTTTCATATTCTTCGTCGAGGTTCGCGAACCGGTCGCCATGCGTGGAGCCGCGGTGGCAGGTGCAGCCCCTGCTCGCTTGAAGGAATCCCGGGAAGTCGGATGTAGGGCGTCGGGTTGACCTGTGGCCCAGTAAGCCTAGCTCCATAAAGGCTTATTTATAGAAACCAAAACAAGGAATCCTTGAAGGGTATGTGCTTTTTGCAACAGGTAGGGATCGAACGTTTGGGCTTCGGGTTGAAGGCACAAGGTTTAGGGTTTAGCGCTTTGGAAGTACTTTGGAACTATGTGATTTACATGAGAGAAGGGGTTGCATAAGTTTGGATAAATGTGTACGAAGCACATGGCAAGGCCCTTTCAGGAGCTTCTTCTGCCTCCAGCACGCTTCATAAACCAGTCTAACACCACCCTAAACACTAAACTCTCAACCCTAATCCCTGACGGGACAAAGCTGATTCATGTTGGAGAATCTGAAGCCTTAAACATGGCAACGCGAAATGGACCCTTATATAAGCAGAACACCACGCCCTGATGGCGTGTATTTTCGTGCATCAGTCTTTGCATGCTTCAGGTATGGACCTCAGCGCGCCACCAGGGCGTTGCACTCTCTATATAAGGGCCTTATATTGATTGGAGATGCTTTCGTGCTATATGTCAGTACAGCTATGATCAGGAACCCTACTGAGTAGCATTCTTCCGATGGCGCTAAGTTCAGGGTGAACGTAGGACAACTGAACAGTATTGGCAAGGATTCAGCCCTACATTAGATCCGAAATCCTGCCCTTAAAACAATAGAATCTGTGAGAGTTGACGAGGCATCACAGCTGAAGCTAATCCTGAACCCTCGACCCCTAAACCCTAAATCCTACACCCCTACACCCTAAGCCCCTAAATCCCTAAACTTCAAACCTGAACGACGCACCCCTAAACCCTGAGCCCTAAACCCCTGAACCCTAAACCCTAATCCCTAAACCCCTGAACCCTCAACCCCTAAACCCTCAACGCCCTGCCGGGCCTCCAAGGTTCATCTCCCAGGGGGCAGGGCCCAAGGTTGCATTGAAGACCTCGGCTGCACTGTTTAGGTGTTTAAGGTTTAGGGTTTAAGGTTTAGGGTTTGAGTTTAGGGTTTCAGGTTTAGGGTTTGAGTTTAGGGCTTTAAGGTTTGGGGTTTGAGTTTAGGGTTTAAGGTTTAGGGGTTGAAGGTTTAAAGTTTAGGGTTTAGGGGTGTAAGATTTAGCGTTTAGTTTGGCGCAGACTTCTTCTGCTTGAAGCATCAGGCGAATATAGGGGGGGTTAACACATAAATAGAATAGGGTAGTGGGGTATATTTTGCTGTATTTGTTGTAAGGAACGTACCCTAAGGCCCTAAGGCCCTCAGGCATAATATTGGTGATTATTGAAGCTTCTATATTACCTCGCAGTGGATACGGAGCTGTTGTTTACTGCTCAGGCGCTTCTCGCTGAATCGGCCTTCCTTCGGAAGTGAACTCAGAAACGGTCCCAAGCTCTAAAGGGCGGCCATGGCGGTCCAGCTGCACGAAGTTGTAGAGCTGCAGGCAGAGATAGATGGGCCGCGCCGAAAGGTCCGTTCCCTCTTGATTGTGTTGGCCCCCTGGACTAGTCTTAGCTGCGAGCTTCTGGCAGGAAGGAACAGTTTGCCTGCCGCCAGGATCTCCGGAAGGCGAATATGCAAAGGACCGAGGGTTTGTGGGAAGGACTCACTACCCGTGCCAATCCCGCTCCACACCGCCTCGCGCAACTTCGGAAGCGCTGCTTGCCACTCCGACGGCGTCATCATGTGCTCGAGAGTCGGCATCCCCGATGGATCTGGGAACCGTGTGAACCGGATCCTGGCTTCCTTGATATCGAAGCACTCGGTCTGCCCATCAAGGAATAAGCTAATGTCAACTATCTCCCTGTAAGATGTCACCGAAATCGGAGGGTCCCTCCAGGATTGCGAAGATGATGAGGCAGAGGAAGCCGGGCGAAAACGACGGGCCGACCTTGCAACTGCAGGCATCACCAGGCGTGCAGCCCCCGGAGGCTTCGGAGTCTTCGACAAAGCCAATCAGGATAGCGACTTCCCTGCCCAAACCTGTCAGGAATATGGACCACGTAGACGTCCCCTCGAGCCTGACCACCCGAGGACCTTTTCAAACTCCAGCGAGCCCCTGGAGCGACCTGCTTACCAGAGGCTTGTTGTGTGCTTCTATGGGCTAGGTCGAGGAACTGATGGGTGGTGTTGTCGTCGGCAAGCAAATCCAGGAAGGACATTCCCGTCATGTCATGCTCATGGTGGAGGAGCAACGCCAAACTCGTTACTTGGTCTCGAATCCGAAACTGGCTGTCAAGCAGTACTTCCGCATCCATGGAGCTTCGAACGATACCTCTGAGGGCCTGCAGAGCTTCCTGCGAGTTAAGTTCATATATCGACATGACTCGAGCCAGCTGTTCGGCTAGCATAACGTGACATATTGAAGTCAAGCACCGGAAACCATTGGTAAGGAAGTTGTCAAACCAGCTGCAGCCCTGCACCATGCTTTGGACCCATGTGTCGGCAACACATATCATCACGAACGGAAGGCTGGCTATTTTGACAGATAGGGAGGCCACTCCACAACCAACACCAACCAACAAGTCCAGCTGGTCGACGCCACTGTACTGTGCATCGCTCCAAGCTGCGAGGAAAGTGCGAACGAAGATCACCGCCACCACTGAAAAATACATCGTGCGTATCCTCCAAAGGGACATGTGGCTGCTAAACCTGAGCTCATGGCTGTTTGCATACAGAAGGCCGAAGAGTAGCAGCCGAGACAGGGAGCATAGGGTTGGAGCCAGGCAGGCATGAAAGATAGCCATGTCCAATATACATAGCTGAGCATGAATGAAAGATCGAGCGCCCCAGACATTCAGCGCTATTGTGTCAGCTCTTCGACCTTTTCATCCAATCTTGGATCCCGAAATGACACGGAAAACGAGGACACCTTCCGCAACACGGCTGCCGATGCATGGGCATCGCCTTCGACTACCACTCCGGTCAGGTAGATGTGGCTCAAGACGAAGACAACGGCAACAGCACTGGCAAAAAGGACAGCCATGGCCTCTGGTTGCAAAAACCTTGAACAAATCGCTTCGCGCTAAGGCTCAGGGTTGAGGATGAGCCTGGAACACACGTGGCAGGCGGCTTCGGACGTCAATCTGCCAGCGCATGCAGTTGAGCGAGATCCGACCCTAAGCCCCAAAACCAAGCTACACAACCCCAAACCCTGAAACCTAAGCCCCCAAACCCAAATACCCAAACCCCGAAACCTAAGCCTCAAAACCCAAATACCCAAAACCCTAAACCCTAATACCTAAGCCCCAAGACCCAAATACTCGAAACCTTAAACCCTATAATACCTAAGCCCCAAGACCCAAATACCCAAAACCCTAAAACCTAAGCCCCAAAACCCAAATACCCAAAACCTTCCGAATTGGCAGGCTGCCCAATCAGGTCCCGAGGCCCGGACGAGTCTACAACCCCTAAATATACCCCAACATCCCGGGGCCTTTTCAGAACCCAGAGCAAGAACACTCTTCTATGCTTACTACTTCGGAGAAAGCTGATACATGATTCTTCGCAGGCTGCAACTCCGAGCAGCCTTTTGTGAGTGGGGGAGGCTAAGTGTGCAAGCAGGCGTTGGTTTCGATAAGCGGAGAACCGAATTAAATTTCGTTAAGCCGAAAGGTTTTCGACTTTTCGCGTTTTCCTGTGCTTTTGGCACTTGCCGGCGCTTTTCGGGTTTTTCGACGCTTCGGCTTTTCTCGTTTGTCTGCACTTTTTGCACTTTTCGGTATACTTTCGGGATATTCTGCTTTGCGATTTGTTTCTGGGCTTTCGCACTTTGCTGTGCGTGTTCGGCAGTTTCGGCGTTTCCGCTTCTGAGCTTTCGAATGTTCGGTACTTTTCGGCTTCGTTGATGCTTTCATATACAAAGCTCTACACCAGGCTTCAGGTGGCCGCAGGGCTGGGCTCGTGGTAGGCCAAGCAAGTGTATGCTGGGCTGTTGTTCCAGGCCCAAGCACAGCGGCAAGCCCAGGCTGGAAAGGGGTATGAAAATGTAGGCTGGCCGAGAGCAAGGCCTGAGGCAGCAGTAAAACGAGTAGAGTCGGTAGTAGTCGTAGTAGTACTGTCACTAGTCGTGGCAGTAACTTTCAGCAGAATCGAGCTTAATGGCAAACTTTGCTGAATGTCCAACCATATCGGGTTCCGCCCGAGCCACCAAAAGGTAGCCAAACCATGCGTATGTTTGCTGAGTTTTCGGATTGGTTGAACTCTTCGAGTGTGCTCTTTCAGTGTTATTCGACGGTTTTGGCTCCAACGAACAACAGCAAGTAGGCAACACTTATTATGAACTTGTGGTTTGTTGTTCGGGACTTAGAGGCCGCCCAGCTGCATGTGTTCTTTTCATCTAGGTTTTCCAACGCATACAGAAATAGCACAAACATGCTCAGTTTTGCAGCAGGATTGGGAACCGCAGGCTCACAAATTTTAGTGATTTGATCCTCTCAATTGGGTATATTTCTTATTGTTTGGGGGACCCCAAAAGCAAGCTTCAATGACTTTTGCGCATTTCGTGTGCCCGAGAGCACCAAAGAGTGACGAAGCACGGGCATTTCGATCTGTTTTGCAGGTCTGAGGAGCCAACCAAGAACCTTGCGCACGTGACATTCCCATCTGTGCTTGCATCAGTTCGGGCATCCTCGTTTCAAGTGAAATGAACGAAACCATGAGCATATTTGATGTTTCTGGTTTCGGGAACCCTTCATGGCAACATGCACTGATTGTTGAGCCACCAAGTGTCAAGTCTGGCTGAGTTTGAAGCATTGCCGGGCTCATCCAAAAAAAGTATCCAAAACATAGATGCTTTTGGCCGAGCTGGGTCTTCGGGTTAAGCGAACTCCCGGAAGCGCTTGATGCGCTTGTCGCAGTGATGTTTGACCGGACTTGTTGAGTTTTCCCCTTTTTCGGTGGCTATGGATTTTTATCGTTGTCGACCGTTTTCCACATTTCGAATTCGCGACTTGTAGCCTTCCACTGTACTTTTCGACGTTTTCGGCTTTTTTGACTTTTCGACTGTGAAGCTTAGCTTCTGGCTGTGCGTTGCGACTTTTCGCGTCTTGCAGTACTTGTCGTCTTTTTTATTGCAGCCTTTCGACTTGTCGTTTTTTGCTGTACTTGTCGACTTCTCGCGGTGTTTCTTAACTTTTCGACTTTGCACAAATCTTCATCCAATGCCACTTTTCGACTTTTCGCTTTTCGCGTGCCGTTTGGCATTCTCAGCTTATTCGCGCCAACAGCCATTCGCAAACAGAGGGGAGAGGGGGCTGGCGTGGTATTTCTCCTAGAATATTTGGGACGAAAAAGGGATAGTATTCGTCACTAAGCACAACTATCACTATGCAAGCCCCGAGTAAAGGTTTTTCTTCGAAGGTCTTTGGAAGAAGGAATGCAGCCCAAAAAGCCCTGAACCGCGATTTAAATCTGCCCTACACCCTATATCATACACAAATCCTAAGCTCCAAACCCGCAACATGCATAAACCCCAGAACGTACATAAATCCTCAACCTTACACTCAAGAACCCTGGAGCCGCACATCCTAGACTTATCACCTGCAGCGCCCTTCGTCGACATCATGGATGTCTAGGGGACGAGTCTCTCAAGAGTTGAAGCGCTTAGTCTTTGTTACTTCCGGGGCTTCGGACTTAGTGATTAGGGCTTAGCAGTTTAAGGGTTCGGGGCTTAGGGTCTAGGGTTTGGTGGTTTAGGGTGTGCCTAAGCTCTTGTGTGAGACACGACTATGGAATGGAGGGTCTTGACGGCAACGATGACGAAGGCCACCAAAATCATACTATGAGTCAACATTTGGGCGGTGCAAGATTTCCTCCATCCACCGTAACCCTCAAAAGTTGCAGGGTTGAGGCGAGAAGGCTACGGCCAAACTGCCTAACTTCCCTACGCCAAAGTCAACATGAAACCCGCACACTATACGTCCTGAACATTCCTGAGCGGTCCTGGGCCCTACACCTACACCCCTGCAATCGTCCCGAAACCCTCCATCCTAAGCCCCAACCCCACTTCCATAACCTCACACCCTAACCCTGACCCCGAAATGCGAGGACCCAGCCGGTGCTGGCCCAGATCTGCTCGGAGGGGGCCTGATCTTGGCTCTTTCTGCAAGGACCGGGGTCTTACTAAGGAAAAGTTAAGGGCGTTTCTATACGGACGCTCTGACGGGCTCTAGAAGCGCTTTGAGAAAGACTTCCAGCAGAGGTCTGAGCGCTTAAGTAGGGCTGGTGGTAAGGGCTCTACAAGGCCTTTAGAGGGCTTTATAGAGCTTGTTCACGTGGGTTTGGGGGTTTGGGCCTTTGGGGTTTCGGGTTTAGGATTTGTGGTTCAGGGTGTCGGTGCAGCCCTTATCATCAGGGATTGCAGCCAGTTGGCAAAGACAGAACAGCTTCGATTTCAGCGCTTAAGCGCCTTAGGAAAGTTTAGGAGCAGAATGTGTGGGCCTTAATGATTTGAATGGGGGTTGGGCGCCTTTTAAAGTCGAACAACTATACTAACGACATCTTGGCCGAAGAACCCGGCCCTTGTGTGGAAACTTGCGAGGTTTGGGGGGACGGGGATAGCAAGTTTCTTCAGTTTGTGTTTAGGGTGCCAGGTGGTTGTCGGGTTTAGTGTTTGAGGCGTTTCCCTTGGTTGCTGTAGGGTTTCAGGTTTAGCTGCTTTACTATATGCGTTTCTTGAGTTCAGCGTTCGGATTTACTTCAAGACTCAACAGCTTGCCAGACCTTAATATAACATAGTACAATAACAAGGAGTATACTATAATATATTGTAAAATATTCTGCTATAGTTTGCAATAATACATTATAGCGTATCATGATACACCATGATGCAATATACTTTCGTATACTTTTCGAAAGTCTAGTACAATATGGAATAATGAAGTATAGTAAAGTATATGATCTAGTAGGGTATACTTTAGCATAATGAGCAGCAATTTAGTATATGATCAAACGAAATTTTAGAACAGCATATTATACGATACGATACAGCACAGAAAAACAATATAGCACAATAGTAGAAAGAAAACAACATATGACAGACTAGAATATACCATACTATAGTGTGAGATACTATAATGTAAACAAACACAATGCATTAATAATATATCATGGTAAATAGTAATTACCACAATATAACATAATATGACGTAGTATAATGTGCAAAAGAAAATACACTATAACCCCAATATAAATCGACTTGATACATTACAATTACAAGTTTAATATAGTACATTTTAATGTATGTAGTATACTCGAACATAACATTGCATAACATAAAATAATGTCATACAGTACATTCTAGCGTATTATGTTACATTATGAAGTATAACATGAAAAGAAGCAAAACGTAGCATAACTAAAGGTATTGTCATAACACGGTAAACTGATATAACACAATTTGGGCTAACTAAACATAACATAAATGATGTGACATACTATGTGCGGTTAAACGGTAAGACAGCAAGCTAACATGAAGTCACACAGACAATATGAGCTATAGACAAATACAACAATCCATGCGATAACACAGTTTAGTATGATAATGCCAGGTAGGAAAGTTCGAATAGAATATACTGTTATCTGTCATAGTGTGACATAACAAATGACAACACATGGACTACGATATCACATACAGGAGTTTATACAACACAGCCAACACACCTGAAATGGTATAATACGATAGAACACAACATAACACAGGACCAAAGACATTTAATAATACACTTTTCCCAAATCAAACATATTACACCACAACGAACACAAACCATATACTGTAACAAATATGATGTAATATTATATTGCGGAATGACAGTGTAAGGGAGCCTCGTATCATACAAAAGCATGGCATATACAACAACCTAAGACCTACTCTACCAAAATACATTTCAAGAAAGTAAAGTGAATTTTGCTGGAATCAAGCGTAGTGATCGTCAGCTCAGCACGCATTTGCCAGTCGTCCTTTCTTGGGGTGCTCGAGTTCGAGGCGCGCACTTCACAAGAGCGACGACGTTTGCGGAAAGCAGTGTATTGTGGCTGGCACTGACATGTGCGAATCACCAACGAGTTTTGCTTGTGTCCATGTGGTTAATGTGTGCCACAGCAAATATTGTGACGGATCACAGTTGGAGACTTCGGGAGCCCTGCAAACGCGAAGTGGCTCCGAGTCGATCATCTGTTTGGCTTGTCTGAACCCCTTGATCGATTGTCTGCCAGACTTCCCATAACAAAACTTCCAGCTGCCCCGCCTGCCAACGGGCGCCGTTGACAGCCTTTGGGAACTTTAGGATTTCGGCTACAGTGCGCATGGAATTTGAGGACACGGTTCTCGGGGCACAGGAGATACTGTCGCGGTCATGGGGGAAACCCTGTGAAACTGCGCAGGAGCAGATATGCCGGCTTTGGTCGATCTGGTAGAGCTGTTGCTGTTATTGTCTTGCATGTTTCTCTTGGTCCGTGGGCACGGGGAAGCAAATCTAAACAGCGTCATGCATCTTGGAATTCGGGAAATGGCTGGGTCTATAGAGCCTCCCTGTAGCCTCGATGTTCAGAATCTTCTCGGGAGCCCAACACCGTAACCAGGTTGAAACAACCCAAGTGCGCATTCGAGATTCTACGCTGGAATCCTATGTCCTATGAGTTCTCAACCCTAGACTCTACGCCCCACTCCAAAACCCCTCCTTGAGGTTCTCATCTGACCATGGCTTCATTTCACCCAGTGAACGACTCAGGCTCGAGGTCAAACCCTAACCCTAAACCCCGGATCGGTCTAACGCTCAGAGCTTCGCAGCCCCAGCGGGGTGAAGTCGAAAGACGGAAGCTTTTTATCTGCGAAATCTGAACGACAGCCGAGGGTGATGCATGTCGTTGGCTGCAGGCGCGGGCGAATGCGGAGGTGCCTGATCGGTGTACATATATAATAACCACAACAATCACCATAATGGTGACCATATGAATAGCAGCAACAGCAACCACCATGACAACTACTGGGATCATGTAAGGTAATCATTAGTCATAACACTCGTCGTAAGCTTCATAACCGTCAGAATGATCCGAGTCATCAAATTAGTGCTCACAACCACCAATTCCAGAATAATCATCATGACCGTCATGACCATCATGTTCATCGTAGCAACCAGAATAATCACGGTCATTTTGTTAATAAACACGAGATCACCCAACACATCAAAATCATAACCATGATAACCATGACGATGATCCAAGTAACGCAACCATCTTAAAGATCGCCACGATCCTAATAATCACAACCATCACCGTTTTCAGAATGATCATATGCATCATCTTCGTCATAGTTATTGACATTTTAGTTCTAGCATCAGGAAACACTAACGATGACAGTAATCATAACAACAATCTGTGCCCGTTCAAACGGAATTCGTAGCTCCGTTCTTGGTGAGTTGTCGCAGCTCGAATAGGTACTTAGGCTTACAATGCTGCATGTAGGTCAGGTTTACATAGGCAAGATGCTGCAAACCGTACTCAGATGATGCGAGTAGCTCAAACGCCAGATTGAGCATGATTGAGGCTGGAGCCTGGATGACCAGATTAGGGTTATGGGGTCGCTATACTACAGCAAAAATCTGTATAATCAATTATTTGGGAACGCTGTGGGACCAATGTCTGGAATTATGCAGGCTCCTAATTAAGTTGAGTGCATCGGGCCAGTGCTTTCAGGCGCAAAAAAGGGGGAAACAAAGCGTCACAGTCTGGATAGACTCACTGTCAGAAATGCTGTCGGCAGGGCGATGCTAAAAGGAAGTGAAAGTAGATCCTGGATCCTGGTGAAAAAGCGATGTTCGTAAGGCGGTCTGAAAAACATTAATAAACTACTATCCGTGCGTAAGGAACACCTTCGGGCTTTAATGAATTGCAGGTTGAGGGGCACTGGCTTTGGAGTTTAAGGGGATCTGAAGTACACACAAAGGGTCTAGGGTTTGCTGTACCCTGCAGGATTCGGGGCTACTGTAGGGGCCTTAATAATTGGAATAGGGTGTTGCGGGCTGCTTATTACAACTATAGCATAGTATACCCCAAACCCTATTCTAATTATGAAGGCCCCTATATTATCCTTCTTCTTGCACTTAGCAGTCTCCGGGTCATGAGTTCGGAGTTCCGGGGTGCAGGATTAGGGGCAGCTTCGGCCCTTCGACCGCTAATGCAGGGGGAGGAAACAGTTGCCGTCAGAGGTTTGCGGTATGCTTTGTATTTATTAGTACTTGGTGTGTAATCAGAAGAAAGAGCCTTGAGAAATACTTTAGGTACATTCCATATATGAGCGCCAGCCAGCTCATCGAGCTGAAGAAGCGATTCGAGCAAGCATACGTGCCAAGGATGGAAACCAGGCAATCTATAGGGTGAAGGTGTAGAGAAAGTATACTGTAACGACTTTGGACAAGCTTCACTAAAACCCGAGAAACCCAAAGCTGTAAACCTCAAACCGGCTGACACGCGGCCTGCCACGGTGCATCGTGAAGCTCGGCACTCCAGGTCCTTGTGCTTGGGCTTTTGGGAGCACTGGACGGTGGAATTCGATGCTGTAACCCGTCGAACTCTCTACCCTTAAAGCCTTCAAGCCGGGGACCCATATAAACCGCGATCCCATGATTCAGCGGATTGGACGCAGTGCGTGTAAAGCTTCCAGGAGTTCGGATGTCCCGGACGATGAAAGCGGTTTGCGCACAGGGTTGCTGAAGGGCTTAGTCTGAAGTTGATGGTGATGAAACAAGAAGAATGTTGGTGGTGCTATTTATTGTTGCGGCGATGACCAGCATCGCTCCGCTCGTCGTCGGAGTCACAGGTGGTAAGATTGTAGGTACAGGTGGGCCCAAACAAAAACAAAGAACACTGCTGCACCATTGAAGATAAGTTGCCGAACCAGTCAGCGAAAACACAGCCCACCACACAACGTAGGAACTCTCAGAAATTCCACGGAGAGTAAGGCAGAAGCTCAGCTTGTGTGGCCGATGCCCTGCTTGCCGAAGCCTGGCACATGAAAGACTCCCCCTGAACCCTACACTCTAAATCCCTAAGCCCTAAACTAAACCCTAATCCCTAAATCCCTAAACCCTTAGTCTTAAACTCCTAAACACCGAAAGCGCCTACACCCCAAATCCCTAAACCGTAACAACTAATATAGAGATCCAAGAAGTTCGAACATGTGGTGCAAATTCTCTCCATGTCCATAATAGGTTGTCTGGGAACAAACTCGCTCTAAGCGACGGGTATCAATAACTCAAAATCAAATCTGTGGGGTTTGGCAAAGTGGACGTTCTGGAGCTAAAAGCACTGGAACAAAAGACAAGCCTAAACCCTAAGCCCTATAAATCAAAACCTTAACCCTAAATCTAAATTACAACCCTAAGCTGGTTCACGGTTGCGCAAAGTTGGACTCGGCGATCACAGAGTCTCGTTGATTGCATGGCCTTGTGCAAGCACCATGGGCTGCGAAGGTTGATCCCAAATAGCCCCAAAGACTGCATACGTGCCAGTTTAGGATTTAGGGCTTGGGTCTTGGGCTTGGGGGTCTTGGATTTCTTCGATCGACCTTTGACTTAGATACTAGGCGATTCGACAATCCAACTATACCAAAGCACACTCCTAAAACCCCGACAACGTCCGATCCTGGGATTCGCGCTAAACAGCAGTCGCGGCCTGACCAGATGCCGTCATCGGCGGCTCGGAAGTGGCGTCCGCAGGGGCTGGTGGCGGGGCCTTCGGTTTTAGGGTTTATGGCTTACGGGATTTGGGTTTCGCGTTCGGGCTCAAAGGTTTTGGAACGTGCGATATGACATCGCAGTCGTTTAGAGGCTTCGCAACTTCTTCAGAGACGGTCTTCCATAACTACTTGTGTCACCAATGAAAAGGTCCTGATCCCGAGATGCAGCCCGAACTCCAAGCTGCGGCTAAGCCCCTAATCCAATACCCAATACCCAACCCGCTACAGCCAAGCTCTACACATCTCTGCACCCTAAAAGCACTACCATACAATCAGACGAGGAAGAAGTCTAAAAACGGGTTTGGGGCTACAGTCTGCTTCGGACCGTTTGGGTCCCCTGTTTAGGCAAGCCGAAGGTCGGTTTCATCAAGCCTCGTCCTCCCCATCGATCTTTAGTTTCTGTAGGGTCTGAGGGTTTTGGGTGTAAGGTTTTGGGGTTTAGTGAGTCTGGTAGGGTTTAGACCATACCTCTTGATTCGGGGCACGTTAAATCCAAGAGTACTTCAACATCGATGCATAAGGCAACAGCGAAGGTCCGGGTCAAGGGCGGGCTGAGCCAAATCCTCGTCCCTACCTTTACCTATAGCACCTATACCCGAGCCCGAGTTTCCTTGTTGTCTGCATCCGAGCAACAGGTGATGGGGCCACATAGAGGCGGCTGTTCTCGGACACCCACCTTCCAACAAGCTTAACATCCCGGTCGTTAACATCGCTATAGGGGGCTGTATACAAAATGTCTTTGTTGCAATGTGATACAACAGTTTTCCGAGGTCTTTATAACTTACCATCAACCCAAAACCCATAACCCCAAGCCGCAGTTTTGGAAAGCAACAGAGGGGAAATGGTGTTCCACTGAGACGATTCGGACCTCTCCTGATTTTTTTGGGATCCCGGCGTGAATATTGCGGCTAGTAAACAGAATAGAGATCATTTAAGGGCTCCCTTCACGAGAACGTCGGAGCTAGGGGGCTTTGATAGAGGGGTATGGGGTTGGGTGTGGATTGTACTATGAAGAGTACCTTAACCCGCCAAAACCTACTTTTTGTAGGGTCCCTATAAATTCCATATTAGGGTTTATGACCAGAACCTACAAACAAGTAAAGACAAATACGGAAATGCGCGAGGAGGCTGCAAACACAGCTCCGGCTAGCATAGCACGCCTGCTGCTATGGTCTGCGCTCGGCGCTTCTAATCCCTAAACCCTGAACTCTACCTCGGGCCTGCTGGTTGGCCATGAGGGAGGGGGAGTGGTTCTCCAGATGTGATATAATGTGATTGAAAATCAGAATGGGGCGTTGCATCATAATATGGGGACCCATATTTGTTGTCCTGTACTTCCAGTTGGGAGCCCGAAAGAACAGTATTTTTAGTTCTTCAGGCTTCTGCGCTAGGCTGCTTGCACCATCCTTGTTTCACAGGCACCCGATAGGTTCCTGCGAGCCTCAACCTAAAGCTCTACAATCCGGATTTCCGCATGCTAAAGCCGTAAACATTCCTAAACATCCGAGCATGAATAGAGACTAGACACAAAATCTGACGAGCCCGACACCGATCAGGAAATCAACGACTGCTACCCTTGTCGTTGACAGATCTAGAGCTTAAAGCCTCAAGCTTCAAGCCTAAACCCCTAAACCCCTAAACCCTAAACCCCTAAACCCTAAACCCCTCAACCCTTAAGCACAATCTGGAAGCTTGCTATAAAGCTTGCTGAAGCTGTTGAGGCTTGGGGCCGGTGGGGGCCCGTTGGTGCGCAGGGTTGTAGGGTTTAGGGTTTAGGGTTTAGGGTTTAGGGTACCTTCTGAGCAATGAATATGGGTAGTTCGCTATCTCAGGGTCCCTTTTGGGGTCCTTTCTGTGAGGGTGTCGTAGTATTTGGGTAACCTAAAAATAAACCCTACTTTAGAGAACTCCCCATACACTCTGGTGCGTTTTGCTTCTCCTCTAAACCCTAAACCCTCTATTCAAAACTCTGGGGATAGAGGACTTGGAGAACATGTTTTCAGGTGAAAGGCTGAACCTGACAATGCGGGCCAACAGCTTTTTGTTTTTTGTCATTTTGCATGTCCAACTAAGGCTTGAAGTTTTTTTGGCTGCGGGGAACCTGCTATGAGTATATTCAGGGAAATGATCTTGAGGGAATACACCTAAATACCCCATGGACGGACTGCACACCAACGACGACCTGAACCCTCAAACCGAACGAGCCAAAATCCGAAAGCCCTTCACCCCGCAACAGCGGCACTGTGTCCCTGAACCCCGAAATCCGACCCTCAAAGGCCCAAACCTCCGAAGTACTGTCCAGCCTCTGCATGGGCCCCAGCTCGTCCACTAGACGGTCGAATGCCGTCTGGCATAGAGCCTTTTTTTTTGGGGGGGGGGGGG